GAATAGGAGGGATAGAGAAGAGGAGAGGGGGATTGAAAAATATGCTACATCTGGAAAAAGCCAAGGCTTGCGGGGTCTCGAGAAAATAGAGAGACAGATAGTTTTAGAAGGGGAAATGCTGATTGCTGCTGCTGACAATTCACAGCTCTTCTTTAAAATGATGAGAGGATGATGAAACCGTGCACTTTCAGGCCCAGAAAGCAGCATCTCACACACGCCAGTTCAGCTCTACAGTGGTTTAATGATTAAACACACACGCTGTTTCTCTACATCGGGAACAAACAGTCAGCTCTACCTGCGAATCTAAACACTGCGCTTTTGTGCTTTGAGGAAGAGTGAGAAAAGAATGCGTACACCTGATCAGGGTTAATAACTGAAGCGAAAACACTCATTGTGTAAGTCATACTTTCTGCTGTCACAATTGGTTACTGTTAATTGTATTAGTAATGTTCCGCCACTTTCAAATTTAAAAATTATTTTTTTTATATTTTTAATTCTTGATTCTGATTGGTCGATCGTTGCATTCTGTAAATATATTTGAACACTATAAATTGTTATTCACCATTGTCACAGTCAATTTATTTCTTATAGAGGAGAAAAAAAAGAAAATTGTGTCATCATTTTCAGACGTTTCCTCAGAGGAACCATTTTAGTGCAAAACATCCAGATATGTCAGAGATTTTACAGTAAAACCGCAGCGGACATGCTGCTCTTCTGCAACTTCAGACTCCAGGCCACTAGGTGGTAGCCTGGTTTATTTCATTTAACTGAGCATTACATTCGCGAGTCATAAGCATATTATAACAACGCTTACGCTTAACTAAGAATAATGGTCAAATTTATAACTGTTAATAGTCTAAAATAAGATCTTCATTATGATGTATGCAGCCTACAAATGCGACCTCCGGAGGATGCAGCCTTCCGTTTGAGAAACGGCCTAGTAGTGGGTTGGAGTTATTTGGGTTGGAAATGGCATGAGGTTGAGAAAATAAACTTTTAACTGTTCCTGTTCACAGTAAATAAATAGTCAGCCATTTGTTTGCAGTCTCTTTTCTCATATAATAAAATTTCAACCCAAATTACATTAGATTCAACTTTATTGTTATTGTGCAGAGTCAGTGAAATACAATATTTCATATCCGTTTATTAATTTATTTGCAAAGTAGCCATGTAATAAAACAGATGATGTACAGTTAGTCATTATTGCAAAATAAACCACTTTAGGGTAGTATCAGATCCTATTGGGATTTATTTTGCAATCCGATTTAAATGTGATGTTGTTTCTATTGCACACTCTGCAATTCAGTGAACTTTACACTGAACTGGCCCATATTTGGATCCATGTGGGTGCAGTATGGCGTCACCGTGTGTCAGGTTTGGCCCAAGTTCGGCCTTGGGTAGAGCTGAACAGATCACTCTGATCCTGCTGGCCTACTTTAGTCACCCACACACTTGTGTCCCAGACTGTGATGTGCCCTCAGATTGGGGAAAGGAGCAGGGGGGGGGGTAGAGGAAATATTTGTGTCTGTGAGCGCATGTGTGAAGGCAACCGGAATGGAGCAATCGAGCTGAGATGGAGATATTTGTAGGACAGAGAGAGTCAAATACACACAGTCCTCCCCCCACGGCTATGGCCGAGCCTTTCTTCTCAAAGGTATTGCAGGAGTCTGTGTCTGGTGTCCTAGAGGGACCATTTCTAGAATATTCTCTGGTAGCACTTCCTTGTTGGTTTCACTGCATAGGTGTGGCGCAGTCACCTCGTGACCAAGATCATGAAAACCAGGTTGGTGCATGTTTGACTGATCGTGGCATAATAAGAGTGATAATTGTGACGAGAGGAGGGAACGCATGCATGAGTCGGACGGCTGGAGAGGGCCGGATTAAAGCGAGCCTGCTCTATGCGCTGGTTTTAGTTGCCATGGCAACTTTCATTACCTGGCACTTGGGAAAGGGGGAGCGAGAGAAAGAGGGAGAGAGGGAAGATGGAGTGGGACAGGAGAAAAAAAGAAAGGAGAGCAGCAGAAAGAGAGAAAAAAAGGAAAATGTCTTGGGGAAAAGGTGACAGAGAAAGCAAAACATGTGGAGAAAAGAGGGAAAAAAAATGTTAGGCCCTCTGGGATTCAAAGTAGAAATGTGTAGTTAAAGAATGAGGGAAAGAAATTAAGTGAAGAGGAAGGAGAGTGACTGCTACTTCCTTCTTTTGCACCACACCTGCTGTTGTGTGTGTTAAAAATTAAAACAGGCAATACAAGCACACTTAATTTGTGCCAGGTATAGAATCTAGTAACACAACGAAAGAAAGCAATACTGAAGTATAGAAAAGATGTTTGTGAGAGTGTAATTTTTAAATGTTAATATAAATAACCAAAATAAAATCCAATTTAACATTAAAATAATCAAGTTTATTATTCAGAGGTGAGCTATTAGTAAAAGAACAAAATCCCCCCAAAAAGTGTACTGTAGCTCTGTGGGACTTCATAAAGAATAGCCTGGCAAAGCAAGAGCAGCTGAACCACTGGTGTGATTTTGCGGCAGGGCTAGCTGCTTGACCAGTGAAAGAGGAGTGTTCCGGAAACCTGTTTGAAAACAGTACTTTTGCAGTTCCATTTTGTTGATGCTAGTGGCACAACAATTACACATTTCGCATTTAAAAGAAGTTAAATAAATTACAGTTACTTTGGAAAATGATGTGTCATTCTGAAGTAAAGCCGAGAAAGAAATAAAAAGAGAAAAAGTTGTGAAAGCAACAAGGAACAGGTGACATCGGGCCTGTGTGGGACTGGGGGAATAAGAAGGTTGTCTCAGCGAGCAGAGTTCCGGCAGGTGTCACATGACCTGCTGCCCTGCACACCTGCCCGAGTGCGCTGCCAGTTGCCATAGCGACAGGGTCAGCTTTATGGAAAGCAGGGTTGAAGGTTGCGATGGTGGGAGGTGGGGCTGGTTGTGTGTGTCTGTGGTGAAGAAAGCAGTTATTTTTAAAATGCTGCAGGAAAGTGTTCAAAAACCACACTGTATTTCTCTCACACACAAATCTAAACGGTGGATATATTCTGTAAGAAACCCCTTGAGCTGTGGAGGACTTAATATTAGATTCAGATCAATGAACGTCTGAATAATACACTGTACAAAGAGACTCTCTTAGCCTTATACATAGTCACCATAACCTCGGGGCGGTACTCATAAAGCCCTGTAGCACAGGTGCTGTTTAAATGACTGAGATCAGCATTAATGTGGAGAATGCAACTCACAAATCCAAATAATGTATGAGCTGAAAAGATTTGTGCCCATAAAGATGCCAGTCTGTGGACTGGTGCAGGCAGAGTTCAGCTGGTTGCTGTGTCATTACTGCTGTCAGAGGCCTTTAAGCCTGTCAGAGTCATTCTTACTCCTGAAGTCTCATTCTACCAAAGCAGACTACAGTTTACTGGTCTAAAACACATACAGAATTGCTTTGCAGCTGGAATGGTGTAATGGGGATTTTTTTGGAGCAAATTTATGGTTTAGGACTTTCGCGGATTGTAGGTTTTTACACTTATTGTCATTTTACATCAGGGCTAATATTGCGAGCTGCTTCAAAAGAGACAAACAATCATAAACTAAACAGAGCTTACCTCATTCAATATTCATGAGCTTTGTACAGTCGCAGAAACTTCACATGCTGTTTAGTGGCATTGTTTGAGAGAAAAATGAAAATGTCAAACAAATGCAACGGGAGTGAAGATGAGAATATGTTATTTGTTTTTGTACAGAGCTGTTATTTGAACAATCAGTGTTACTGACCTCATGAATATGCAAATAGGAACATTAACCCAGGGTCTGCAAATGTACAGTGGGAAATCTAGAAACCTGAATTGAAACCCAGTAATACCCATTTGCGGTGGTTGTGAAAAGCCTAATAAAGTATGAGTGATAGGCCATGTTCGCACTGCAAGCCTTAGGGGCCGTTCACACAGAATGCGTTTTTCCATTCCTCTACACTTTTTTTCCATTGCGTGTCTATGTAAACACACTAGACAGATGTGTTTCACCATTGCACTTACGTCGCGGTGCTCAAGTTAAAGTAATTTCAACTTTTAAAAAACGCATCTTGAATATATTTCCCCATTCCACTGCCTGCATCTTGTGTTTTTCAAAGCAAAAACATATTCTTTGTAAAAGGCCGCTTGGTGCTCAATTCTGATTTATAGCTCAGGTCAGGTTTTTTTGTTTGGCTTTTAGCATTATTTTTTAAATATGGCCAATATCCCATTTGAGTGTGAATTGGTGAACTGAAATAACCCGCATACGCAAAAGAACAATAACAAAGATGGCACTCAGAAAGCTGGCCAAAATCAGAATCAGAAAGATAAGATTCCATGTGGTTTGTGCTGTTCACTTTTCACTCTTCAAAAGGCTACTTTTGCCTGCATTCTAAGGCCCTGTTTACACTAGTATGTTTTCGTTTTAAAACGCATAACTTTTGCTACGGTTATGCCTATCGTTTACACTACTCCGACGTTTTCGACCCTCAAAACGGAGACTTTTGAAAATGCTGCAGACCCCGTTTTAGTTTGAAAACTTCGGGGTTGCAAACGGAGCAAAACGGAGACTTTTGAAAACGATGGCTTGGCTGCCCACATTCGCTGTGCGTATCCTTGATGACCGTGTAAACAATAACATCATGCTCATTGTTGTGCCCATAGACATGTATGAGTAGATTCCCCATTCGACCGCTCCAAGCACGTAGATGCGTCTGCTATCTAAATATTAGGAATCTACCTATACATATCTATGGTTGTACCTGCATGAACGGTCACGTGACATGCATTTTCGGTTGTGTAGTGTAGACGGAGATCGTTTCTGAAACGCAGTGGAAACGCCAGTGTTGACGATGATAATTTTTATTCTGTTTTAAAATGAAAATGCACTAGTGTAAACAGGGCCTAAACGTAGCTATACTTTTTAAATGATGACCTTTCTTCTCTTTTTCATAATCACATTTTCTCTCTGTCTCTCTGCAGTGTTCAGATGGAGGGGCGGCCCAGGACAGCTCTTTGAAGCGGGTTGCTGTGGTGGAGGATTTTTTTGATATCATCTATGCCATGCATGTCGAGATGGGGGCAGATCCCGGACGAGCACCCAAACACGCCGGCCAGAAAAAGACCTATAAGGCGGTGAGCAATTATTCAGTGCATAAAAAATAGTCAAGACAAACTTAAGGGAAACGCTTTACTCTTGCTATAAAAGTACATGCAGCATAGGCTTCGTGTGCAGCAATGTGCAAAACTGCCCCCTATTTATTCTTACGACCACACAAGCAACTCTAAAATAGAACATCTGAATAACTATAATGAGTGGAGGCTGTTGCTGGGGAAACAGCAGCCATTTTGAAACACCTGTTGAGCCATTGTAGACTATACAGCAACGTCTAAACTTTAGATAAAATAACACATTTTGTGGATTTACTCTTTTTAATGCAGTAATGCACTAATGCATGCTAGCGATGCTGGCCAGCTTTTTCCGACTCGCATCCACCCACGTATGTGAAAAACAAACTAATGCAATCTAAAATCTTTTTAAACCTGAACTTGTCTGACCCACCGATGTAAGTCAACATCACTACCTCTCAAACTGTCAAACATGACAAGACCCAAGTGACAAGTATTGCATCATGGGACTTATATAAAGCTGCCTGGCTCGCCAAGCCCAGAGGAAAATTATATTGCTCAAAGTTTGCCCTTTCGTGAATCAGGACTTCTATTTTTTTTACTGAAATCACAGTTTTTATCAGGAAAAATCTAAATTGAGATATTGAATCCTCTTCATATTGAAATCTCTGACTTTGATAGCAGACTTGGGAAATCTGTGCAGTTTCTGACTTTGCTGAGATCTTTTCTGAAACTCAGAGATACATGTGATATTACTGGATTTTCTTTTCAGGAGAGGCAGAAGATGCTTAATTTACTGTATAGGAAAAGCAATTTATTTAATATTGCAGAGATCCCATCTGTTATTTTTCTTCACTATGGTAGGACTAAAAATGATCATAGCCAGATGATTACTCAGTGGATTTCATTTTGGACTGATATTCAGCTGCGTTTTAAGTTGCCCAAACTGCAGGTATGAGTCAACCTGTGCATCACCTTGGCAAACCTTTTGTCTCCAGTGTACCTCTCTATTTTCCGTCATATTCTTTCTTTCTCTGACTGTCTGAGAAGTCTGAGAGGTCTCAAATACTTAAGTGTCAGACAGAGTTTTTGTATGATATTTAGTGGAGAAAAAGCACTGACCATTTTTGGTTCATTTCAAAACAACTCTGTCCATTTTTTTTCTACTGGTGCCCATAATAACGAGTGCTTTCTCAACCACTATTCTTAGGTGTAAAGGGAGTTTTGTGTGTGTGTGTGTGTGTGTGTGTGTGTGTGTGACTCACCTCTCCTTTATCTGAGACACTGGTGAATGAAGTAGGAGGAACAAGCATAAATGAGTTAGCGACTGAATCTGAGGGACCAAATACACTCTCACTGAACTGTCATGCAATGCTGTGAGAGGGATTTCATATCACATGCCTTTATTCTTGTGCAGTGTAATTTCTCTGAGGCTTCACTGGAGTGTTTTGTGTAGTGTGTAATTATAAACAGGCTATTATGTTTCTTAGCACATACATTCAGCCTATGTGTTATTGAGTTATTGCTTTGCTTATTATTTGATAATGAGGGAGAGAGGAAGTCGATATGAAGTACAACCTAATGCAGAATTTAGAATCTGTTCCAATTAAATCAGAACACACAGACTAGACTTAACATATATTCTTCAAAAGTAGGTAGGGGTGCAAGTGTGTACTGAGTATACTTGATTATGCTCCCTTGTGCTGTGATTCCTTGGTGTGTGAAAGCAGGTGTCGGGTTCCAGCCCCCACTAAGCTCTGTGCTAATCACCTAATTAAAGCAATTAACTGTCTGATAGCCATGTTTTTGACATTTGGCACACATTGAACCTCTCCAAAACTGCTGGACTGTCAGACAAGTAAAGATCAGTGCACTCTAAGTTCTCACCCGATTGGCTGTGACCTTCAGAAATCAGCTGTAATTGGCTTGATTTGCTCTGGTTGAACTGACTTTCATTGGCTGTATCCAGCTGCAACTGACTCTGATTGGTGGTGTCCAGAATCATTCTACAGTTTTACATCAGTGGCCCTGTCCTAAATGCTTTTGACTCAAGATTGTCCAAAGTTATTACAGATTAATATATTATATTAATTATTTTGATTAAGTAAAATATTATACAACCTAAAATAATTATACAAATTATTTATTATATTTATTGTAATATTTATTTTTAGGGGATTCTACTACTGCTATTGATAATAATAATTAGCAATTATTTAAATTAAATTATTAAATTAAATATTAATTAATTAATTGATATAAATTATTTTGATTATATATTACCAAATAATCTAAATTAATAATAAATCTTATTAATTATTAATTAATCATATTTATTCATTTTATTGTAATATTTTAAGAGGGGACTAATAATAATAATACTAATAAAAGTAATTGCATGATTAATTACTGGAAAATTAATTCGTTTGATACTATATTGTAATACAATCTAAAACCATAGTACCAATTATTGTTATTATTATTATCAACAACAACAACAACTGTAATAATAATAATAATAATAATATTTAATATTATGTAGGCAACCCCTTATGCACTTTCAGATATGCATATAAATCAGCTCTAGATAATTACTGTGACTACAGAAAAGACCAAAAATAAATAAATAAATAAATAAAAAATCAAGATCACCCTTCCTGTTCTGACCCGCTACAGTTTCGTACTGCTGTTGTCTGCATGCTGCTCTCTAGTGGTGGCATCACAGGACTGCAATGATGTTCTATTGAGATTGATACCACTCAAGGGGCATCTGTCACACCACTACCTGAAATTCTATGCATTACTATGCATTATTACTTTTTTGTCTTTTTATTACAAAATTAAATGCATTTCTGTGGCTTTGAAATGTTCCTTTTTGTGTATAAACAGTGTTGTCATACTGAACCTCAGCTTGTTCTCTCGAAGGAGGGGGGGGGCATTCATTGGTTTGGCCACACACACAAAAAGGAGCACCCCCATTACTAAAGATGCAAAAGATGTTTGTGTATGTGTTGATGTGTGCGGGGGTGGCAGGGGCTGCACAATGTCCTTGGGGCAACGTTCACCTCCTCTCCTCAGCCAGTGCCCTGGAGAGCCCTGCTGTCAGGTCTCATAGCACAAGCAGCCCACAGAGACCAGCCCTGCCAGCCTGGGAGGAGGGGGGCAGTCTGGGAGCATGGCATTCTGGGAGGTGCGGTTTTCCCTGTGTGGCCTTTTCCCTCTGTGCCGCCTAAGGGGGGAGGGTGGTGGGCCTACCATTCCTACTGCTCCATCACCCTCTCTGTGTGAAGGTCGCACACAGAAAGCCTGCAGGAGAAGAAAGCAAGAGCAAAAGAGAGATGAGACAGGGATAGAAACAGACCAGAAAAGAGAGGGAAGGGAAAAGAAAACCGAGGCATTGCAAAAGAGACATGAGTTTGTATATTTTTATTTATGTTGTCCCTAGTAGGAAAATTAATGTTCCTGAAAACTAGTGTGCTGCCTTGCTCCCTACACCCCGCAAAAGCAGCTGCCTTCTAAGTGAACAGCCTTCATGTTGCAGGCACACTTATTATGCTGGCAGCTCAGAACACAATAACTTATTTTTGTCATTATGCTCCCTCATTTCAGCTTCTCCGTTTGTTTAATCTCCCCCAAATTGTTTGCTGACTCCTTTCCACTCTCTCTTTTGGTTGTCAGATTGCAGAGACCTACGCATTTCTTCCACGTGAGGCGGTGACCCGTTTCTTGATGAGTTGTGGAGAATGCCAGAAAAGGATGCACATCAACCCCAGCACAGCAGAGTTCAAAGGTCAGACGCCATCCTTGCAATTTCATGTCTAAATTTGCCATTTTTAATGGTTTTGAACTGTGCACACGAATGTATCGCTTAGTAAATTGCTTGTTTTTGTTCATTTTATCTTTAATTAAAGTTTTGGGAGTGCATTGCCCTTTAGCGGTAATTAGGAGGACAAGATTTCCCAAATCTTCGTTAAAGTCAGACTCTTTTTGATTAGCCACAGAGGCAAGACTAAAATTCTGCACTTCTACTGGCCCCTTGTAATTAATGCATGGATAATCTGACCCACAGACTTCCTACAGTAAACATCAGATTAACAAAAAAAGAAAGAAAATTAATGCTAAATGAAAAACACAAGCAATCCTTCAAGACATGACATAGCAGACGCTCATGTGATGACCTTCAAATATGCCTTCTATCTGGATATTTGCATCATTTAATTCAGAGACAGTAGTGCTGTTACAAGTGAAACTGCTTTATTATTGTCAGTGTTTTATGACTTATTAAATCAACAGCGCAGCAATAAGCACCTTTACTTGAACATGAATCAGAAGGGATTTGTAGAGATTGGGTCATTTTCCTACAGCTGAGATATTGTGCTCTATATGCTGTAAGTCAGCTATCTGCGCAGATGTGACGTCGGTCTGCCATTAGTCACAGGCTGATGTGACTAAATTCACACAGATGAGCTTGATTTCTATGAACTGAAATGAGCTGAAAAAATATCATTCACAAATGTGTAAGCTAATTCACATTCACTAAAAAGTTGTATTTGCAAACAGCAGTTCACATACTCATAACGTAATTCGTTTACAAAATATGATTTGCAAATGCAAAACTATGCATTTGGAGAGAATGAATGTTAAACAAACTTTGAATAGTGAATTAGCTGATCATCTCCTGCCTGCAGGGGTTTTAAACGGTTGAGTCATCCCTGCTTTCCAAAGCAGTTTATAGAATAACATTTTGCTATTGAGCTGTTCACGCTATATAGCGGCTGGGAACCCTGTAGAGTCAGAAGATGTGTGTCCAAACAGAAGCCTGTCTGCGTTTATTGTGTTTGATTTTAACAAAGACCCGAGGGGGTTTCAGCAGGGTCTTTTGGAGCTTTGTCTCAAGAGCGCCTTCTAAAGGACAGAACTGAGTCATGCACATTACTGAGAATAGGATTGAATTAGATAATAATGAATTAGACACAAATCTTCATAAGTAATAAGCTTTTTTACCATTCAATTTTAGGGTTAACAAGGTTTTGTTTTTCTTTAATACTTATATCCAGCTAGAATGCATTAAATTGATCAGAAGTGACAGTGAATACATGTAGAATGTTTTAAAAGATTTCTATTTGAAATAAATACTATTCTTTTGAACAAAATGTATCTTGGTTTCCACAAAAATATGAAGAACCATGAATATGAAGAAATATGAAGAAATGTTTCCTTAGCAATAAATCAGCATGTCAGAATGATTTCTGTAGGATCATGTGATAATAAAGACTTGAGAAAGGGCTGCTGTAAATGCAGCATTGTATCACTGCAGTAAATTACATTTTAAAAGACTAAACAGGTATTATAAATTGTAATACTATTTTATAATATTTCTGTTTTATATGCATTTTTCATCAAATAAATGAAGCCTTGGTGAGCATAAGAGATGGCTTTCAAAAGCATAAAAAATCTTACAGTCATCATACTTTTGAACAGTAGTGTAATCAATCAATCAATCAATCAATGTGAACTTTAATTTGTTGTTTTTCACCTACAGAGAACGACCGGCCCACCTCTCTGGTCCCAGACCTCATCGATTACAACATGCCTCTCACTGCCACCTATCTAAAACAGATGAAACTACAGTGCATGAACACCAATGAGCAGGTAGGTAGAAGCCAAGCAAGAGAGTGAGAGGTACAAAAGCATGGATAGATGCTTTGTTTTACAATCCTTACAAAAATGTCAGTTTGGTTTTGTGATCACAAACATTGAAGTTAAAATAATTTTGTGTTGAAGTGATGTTTCCAGTCTGTGAGTTTGCTGACAGCTCCTAAACCTGACTTTTAGAGACAATACATGATGCTAAATATGCCTCAGTATCTGGGCAAAGAATTTAATGTAAAAGTCACCCAGCTCAAATGAACTGCGACAAGGCCTTATGGTGCAATGTGTGGTTGTCAAGGTAAGCTCTTATAGACATGGTTGCCTCAGCAACAGTATATGTGATGCCTGGAATAGCAAGAGCTGGATGTGTCTGTGGGTCACTGTGCTATATAAATGGGGTGATGGTAAATACACAACTCCCATCTTTGTGAAAGACAGTTCCTTATAGCACTGAAATACACTGAAGTACATGGATGTAATTGTATGGCTGAAAGTAAAGAGCATGTTTGTAGAATATCTTTAGAATAGCTAAAGATACGCCAGGGCACATCACTGGGTCAAATGCATTTACAGCTCCCTGAAAAGCTGTCAAGATTTTTCTTTTCCAGGATCACTTTAACTCATGTCTGCATCTCATAACAGAACATAGTATAAATGACAGTGCAGTTAAGAAAGCTTGCTAAGATTGCATGCAAAGCATGAAACATACAGAGGTAAGTCTATATCACTGGAAAACCGAACAGTGAAATTAATTAAATGAAATGAGTTAACTTCACTCAAATAATAATGAAAGTTCATTGGAATTGAAATAAGTTCTGTAAATTTAAAATGTTGTTGTAGTAAGGTGAACTTAAAATTATTGCGTTTTCTAGTTCCCAGCATGCTTTGCATCAGACAACAAGGAAAATAAATGTAGAAATTAAGTGTTATTTTGTGTGTTTTTACACAAGATTAACATAGAGCGACATAAGTTAGTACTTAAATGTTGTGTTGTGTTAGGGTTTCTGTTATGTTGGTTTTGTAAATAAAGAGAGAAAAAAATTATCTCTTTATTTATTCCTTCTCTTTCTAGCTTGTACTTATTTGAACATTGTCTAGAAACTTGGGATTACAAGCACTTCCTGTATCTGTTTGCCTCTTTAAGAAGAATCGCTTTATGTATCCCCCAATTGTAAGTCGCTTTGGATAAAATATATGCATTTTTCATCAAATAAATGAAGCCTTGGTGAGCATAAGAGATGGCTTTCAAAAGCATAAAAAATCTTACAGTCATCATACTTTTGAACAGTAGTGTAATCAATCAATCAATCAATCAATGTGAACTTTAATTTGTTGTTTTTCACCTACAGAGAACGACCGGCCCACCTCTCTGGTCCCAGACCTCATCGATTACAACATGCCTCTCACTGCCACCTATCTAAAACAGATGAAACTACAGTGCATGAACACCAATGAGCAGGTAGGTAGAAGCCAAGCAAGAGAGTGAGAGGTACAAAAGCATGGATAGATGCTTTGTTTTACAATCCTTACAAAAATGTCAGTTTGGTTTTGTGATCACAAACATTGAAGTTAAAATAATTTTGTGTTGAAGTGATGTTTCCAGTCTGTGAGTTTGCTGACAGCTCCTAAACCTGACTTTTAGAGACAATACATGATGCTAAATATGCCTCAGTATCTGGGCAAAGAATTTAATGTAAAAGTCACCCAGCTCAAATGAACTGCGACAAGGCCTTATGGTGCAATGTGTGGTTGTCAAGGTAAGCTCTTATAGACATGGTTGCCTCAGCAACAGTATATGTGATGCCTGGAATAGCAAGAGCTGGATGTGTCTGTGGGTCACTGTGCTATATAAATGGGGTGATGGTAAATACACAACTCCCATCTTTGTGAAAGACAGTTCCTTATAGCACTGAAATACACTGAAGTACATGGATGTAATTGTATGGCTGAAAGTAAAGAGCATGTTTGTAGAATATCTTTAGAATAGCTAAAGATACGCCAGGGCACATCACTGGGTCAAATGCATTTACAGCTCCCTGAAAAGCTGTCAAGATTTTTCTTTTCCAGGATCACTTTAACTCATGTCTGCATCTCATAACAGAACATAGTATAAATGACAGTGCAGTTAAGAAAGCTTGCTAAGATTGCATGCAAAGCATGAAACATACAGAGGTAAGTCTATATCACTGGAAAACCGAACAGTGAAATTAATTAAATGAAATGAGTTAACTTCACTCAAATAATAATGAAAGTTCATTGGAATTGAAATAAGTTCTGTAAATTTAAAATGTTGTTGTAGTAAGGTGAACTTAAAATTATTGCGTTTTCTAGTTCCCAGCATGCTTTGCATCAGACAACAAGGAAAATAAATGTAGAAATTAAGTGTTATTTTGTGTGTTTTTACACAAGATTAACATAGAGCGACATAAGTTAGTACTTAAATGTTGTGTTGTGTTAGGGTTTCTGTTATGTTGGTTTTGTAAATAAAGAGAGAAAAAAATTATCTCTTTATTTATTCCTTCTCTTTCTAGCTTGTACTTATTTGAACATTGTCTAGAAACTTGGGATTACAAGCACTTCCTGTATCTGTTTGCCTCTTTAAGAAGAATCGCTTTATGTATCCCCCAATTGTAAGTCGCTTTGGATAAAAGCGTCTGCAAAATGACTAAATGTAAATGTTGAGGTTGGACAGCTTAGCTTATAAGGGTCATATGATGCGATTTCAATTTTTCCTTTCTCTTTGGAGTGTTACACGCTCTTGGTGCATAAAGAAGATCTGTAAAGTTGCAAAGACTAAAGTCTCAAATCAAAAGAAATATTCTTTATAAAAGTTAAGAATCAGCCACACCTATCTAAAACGGCTCATGCTAACACGCACCCACATATCTACCTCACTATGTGGGAAGATTTGCATAACGCCATGGTCTTCCAAAAGAGGACGATATATTCGCTTCGTCATGCCTAGAGCTGATCCGTGCTGGTCGCTGAGGGAATACATCAACTTAGTGCTGTGGATCGCCGGATCGGCTTTCACCGTGTACGAAGCCCTGGGTCGTCACATGTGCTTGCCGCTCCTTTGTCGGATCCGCCGGCTGCACCGTTCTCAACCCCGCCGCCTCTGCTCACGCTCAGCCGGGACTTCCGCTAGGCCACTGTGTTTTTCGTTGTGAAAGTGAAACTACTTTGTTTGGTCTTCCAAAAGAGGACACGACTACAAATCAGTTGTTAAGTTGTATTTACAACACTGTTCCGGAACAGTTTAACCCAAATATCCAGATGTGTGCAGCACATTTTATGGAGGACTGTTTACTGATCCTGGGAGAGTAATGTTAGACTAAAATGCCGGCAGTTCTGACTCAAGTAAGTACATTTTCATTTAAAAGATTTGCTACTGATGATTCAAACGCGAGTGTTGGGCAGTGTGGAGTAGCACTTGTTGTTTGTCATTTCTCTGATCACAAATGCAGACAGGGTTTTATGTTTACGTGGCGCAATGCAACGCAAAGCGTAAAAAGACAGGATAAGTCATTATAATCAGTAATTATCTACCCACAGGATGCATCAAATGCCTCGTTTGTAATGGGTTTTAATGTTTTTGTCTCGTCGCTCCGGCCAGGACACGGCATCAACAGTATGGTGAGGGGCGTAACATTTCCGTCTCATGCTTGAGGTATTCGGCCAATCACAACGCACTGGATAGCTGGCCAATCACAGCACACCTCAATTTTTCAGACCGATGAGCTTTGTAAAAATCGACACGTTTCAAAAAGGCGGGGCATAGAGGAGAAACAATAATGTACAGTATGTGGAAAATAATGTGTTTTTTTTACTTTAAACCGCATAAACACATTTCATTACACAAAATAATGTTATTTTTAGCAGCATCATATGACCCCTTTAAAGACTATTTATACTGCATGTTGTTTGACTATTTACATGCAAGTATTGTGAATATTTTTGGTAACTACATTAGTACGTGCAAGTGTGCTGTTACTAGCTAGCACTTAACTATAAAGATCTGAATGAATGTGCTGTTAATGGAATCAAATTGTATATACTTATCATTGTGATGAGTGGGGTTGGATCATGGAAGCGAGGCTAGTCTCCCATGGCTCTCAGCCCCGCCCCACTTGTCATAAAAATTTTAAGCTCTACTAACTTAAAAAAGTTTAGTTCGTTTACTCAAATATTTTGAGGCAATAAGTTTCCTCAAATGTTTTGAGTATTCATAACTTACCAGGTTTTACAGTGTATAGGGCATTTTATAAGCATATATCTGTGACATGCAACATTACCCTTGTCCAGCTTCACTGAATCTGACCTTAGGTTAGAGACATCAGCTGTACTGGAGAAACAGGAAAACCTTCATAACAGGCCTGAATTAATGTTTTGTTTATTTGATTTGATTTGATTATTTTAACATTAAGGAATATTTTAATTTAATATAAAATGCTGCTTGACATTTAAATGTGTTCGAATAGGCAGTTCTTATTGATTTCTTTATGAACCAAGCCTGATAACTGCAGTAAACACTCCTATACAAGTAGGAATATAGGTGGGTAGGTACAGGATTTTCTAGTAGGTATCCTACAGGCCTGTGGGTAGGGGGCGCCATTGTACCAATCTCTATGAAATAAAAGTAATCTATACAATTTGTTGCTTGGAGTTGGATGATTTTCCACAGCAGAAAAAGACAAAAGACATTTCTGGGAGGTTAGCTGAACAGCATGTTTTATCTAGAATTGTTATATTTGTTGAAAGCTATTTGTCCTCCGTTTTCAAAATAAGACAACATTTGATATAATAAGTATATGTAAAAATGAGATGTAAAAACGGACAGCACTATTATTTCTCTTCATGTCACGTGGCAACCAATCAGATAGCACAGATTGAAGATAGTTTAGAGTGTGTTATTCTATTTTATTGCTTCTTTTTTATGTAATTCACCAAACTATAGGATGTGTTCTGGGATCAATATTCCTATCAACCAATCAGATTTCACGGCTAAAGTTAGGATTAGGGCTGCAGTATGGACTCTATCTATATTCTTATCAACAAATCATTTCTCTCAGACTATAAAGTAGGCTATGGTTAGAAAAGTCTTACCTTCTGACAGCCCACCAACGGGCCGTCTGTTGTTCAGTGACTGGCTGATGCATATTGCACTTTCTCCATATGGCATGCTCAGTTTTAACTGGCTGGATTTACGCAACTTCTGGAGTGGGGGCACACAGGATTTTTTTTTTTGTTAGTCCTTCAGGAGACAAAGGTGCCGTGCTGATACAATGAATGCTGTTGAGAATACAATAATCACTGGATTAGTCAAAGTATGCAAGGTTAGTTACATAAAATTTGTAAAAGATACTTTTTTGTAACAAGTAAACTAGATATCCCAGTAGAGGACAATTGTATGTTATTGTATTATTTGTTTTCAGAGCTACACTACCATTCAAAAGTATACATTTTAAACATTAAAAAAATTATGTTTTCTATTTTGATTCTATTTTTAAAATGTAATTTATTCCTGTGATGCAAAATTGAATTTTCACCAGCCATAACTCCAGTCTTTATTATCACATGAACCTTCAGAAATCATTCTGTTGTGCTGCCATGATAATTTGTCTTCAGGATTCTTTGATGAATAGAAATTTCAAAAGAACAGCATTTTTTTGAGATATTATTTTTTTTAACAATGTAAAAATCTTTCTATTAGGCCTACTTTTTATCAATTTAATGCGTCCTTGCTAAGTACAAGTATTAATTGTTCATTTTAAAAAACTAACTGATTGCAAACGATTGAATGGTAGTCTTTCTCTTTTGTGCCTTTATACCTGCGTCTTCATTGATCTTTTCTTTTTTCACCCTCTCTTTCTCATTGCTCGTGTTACTGATGCTCCACTTGGTACCTAATGGAGTCAGCAGCGCACACATCAGCCCTCTAAACAAACCTCAGAGGAACCAAATTTCTCACAAGACTAATCTATGAATCACATGAATCCATGTTTACAGTATGCGCATGTGTGTATGTTTGCACATGCTAGTGTTTTGGTTCACAGCTGTACAGGACAGCATCAAATCACATTTACGAATGAACACCTGACATGCTATCAGTTCATTTGTGACCATTAGCTCCTCTGTGGGGTCCCAGGATGTTTTAGCTGCGTCCCAAATGACGCACTATACACTATGCACTCATACACTATGTACTTAAGCACTATGTACTCAACCATGTAGTGTATGAATTATATAAGGTTATTTTGTCATTCATAAATCAGTCTGATAGCCCTCCCACTTCGCTACGTAATTAAAGCTGTGACAGTTAAGTGCATGAAGTGTCCAACATTCCACACACTACGTTTTTTCGGTTATTTAAGTGCATCATCCGGGTATTTAAAGTGCACTTTTTATTTTTGGAATTTTCAGTGTGAACGCACTACTCGCACTATTTATACTACAAAATGTCATAGAATAGTGCATAAGTACGCGATTTGGAACGCACCTTTTGTGTCAGACCTCTTTCCTGTTAGCAGTGCATTGCTGAAAACTGGAATTGATCCTGTGAGTGTTTTACATGGAGAGACAATTCAGTGACAGTTTGGAGGTGAAATCATAGCAACTTTTCTTCTCTCTCACACACGTCTCCATCTACACACCTGCTTTTCTCACCTCCTCTTGAGCCCCACTGATGATTACATCCTTCCAGCCTGCTCTACTCTTCAGGCTACCATGGAAACAATAAACACGGAATCAGGGACACATCCTGTAGCGTGGAGTCTGGATTTTTTTGTTTGTATGTGTGTGCGGGGAGAGAAAGATTCTTGGTAATGTGATGCTAAATAAATTGAGCTTATTAGGAATGTACTTTTAATTGTCAGGGCAAGTTGAAGTATTTTAATAAATAAAGCTGAAAATGGAGTAGTTTAATGCCCAGGTGCTTGAGGGTCTTTTGGAGAAACAAGGAGATTAATAGTGCAGAGGGGGGTGGTTGGATAGTGAAATGAGGGGTTTGTTTGTGCTAAAAATGTGGAAGTGGCGCACATGGGTGGGGGTGGATGCTAATCTTTAACGCAGCGGCTACAAGATTAGCATTGGTATTGTGAGGGTTTGATCTGAGCAGATGGGTGACACAGGGTGTATTGTGGGACCGGTTGGGGAAGGGAGGCAATGAAGAAAATGTTGATGCTAACTTTACTAGAAGCACTAGAACCTGCTGCAAATCACGGTGAACTTTCTCACAGCTTCATTGTCATGACAACAGCGGAGGTAGAGAGGTGTGTTCACGCCTATAGCGTAGATGAAGGCAAGGGTTACGACGTGATTTGCTATGCCTTCAGCCTGCTAAACATGGACCAGCGCTTATTCTGACAGATGATGGAGATCATATTTAAAAGAAATTTATGCTGAAAAAATATTTGGTCTTTGATGATAATTAGTTTTGATTAGGACACACTGATGAAAAATATATGCATAAGCATAAGCATGCAGTAACAATAATATTAAAAAAAGAAAAATAAACATCCAGGAAGGAATTAAGCTGTAAGAGTTGAATACTGGTAAAACTGACTTTTTTTCTGTTTTTCCTTAGCTTTCACAATTTGAACTTGAAGTAAGTAGCTTGATAGTCAGAATACGGTGTGCTGTAACAGCGTGTTATAATGAAATTAGTTTCTAAAAACAGCCAGTACTTCAATATACTCTTACTATGCAGTTTTCACATGCTATTTTATATTAATAAATACTACAGCCTGTTATGGTTTGACATATTTTGTGCTTTCTGTATATTATTGTTAAAAAATAAAATTTTATGTTTTATTTTATTTGCTTTTTAGTAGTTATACATATATTGCTTTAAATATTTTAGTTTTAGTCATTTTAGTACTACAACTTGAACTACAAATTTCAGTTCAGTTACTTCTCATTTTAAGTTTTTCATTTAATATTTAAATTTTATTTTTAAGCTTTTTACCATTTTACCAAAAATGTTTTAATAGTTTTTAGTTTTAGTTAACACCGACAAATGAACACTGCTGTGAAAGCATACATACATTATGTGGATTTTCACACAGTTCCAAACTCTAAAGACAAAAATGTACATGCAGTGAACTGTTTGTACTACAAGTTGCTCTGTAATTCCCAACCATTGTGTGATTCCTGAAGAAAACAATACATCTCTTATGCTCTTCTCATGCTGTGTGTGCATCTTTTGGGTTTTGGTTCCAACAGGGTCAAAAATAGCTCCCTTCATAGTCACTCATTATTTAAGAGTCTCCTCCTTCTGTCCCTTTCCAACCCCATCCCAGAATGTGGAGTTTCCTCAAGAAAGGACACACTGTGATGCTAATGGACTGAGGTAAACAAGAAAACAGTTTGTAAAGTGAGGTGTTGCTTAATTTACATCTGATATATAGCATCATGGTTGAACCAAACAGGAAGTGTAGGAAATAGAATGTTTATTTTGACCCAGGTTTGAGGACTCTGGCTGTGGAGGAGATGTGGGAGAATCTAGTGATGTCTAGGCGATAGTGGGGTGGGTGAGCTTCATTTTGTGCACAGAATATCCTGAGCTCTCTGACTTCCTCCTCCTCCCCCCTCTCTTTCTCTCTCACACACATACAGGATGAGAGTTCGGTAAGCAGTGAGGATTTGGACATGGCTGAGCCCGCGTGGGTCTCTACTGAGCGTGCTCCAGCCGCAGAGCCCAGCAGCCCCACCGCCCCGTACACAGAGAGGATGCCTACACCCCCACAGCCCAGCATTAAAGAGGAAGAAGGTATGATGTCTCTCTCTCTCTCTCTCTCTCTCTCTCTCTCTCTCACTCACACTGTGTTTATGTAGCTGTACATTTCGTTGAAATAACAGCCACCTTTTATGGATGTTTGTGAGCATTTATCAGTGAAGACTTTGTGCTGGTGAGAGTCTGATAAGTGTCTTGTAAAGCTGATGTTGAAGAGGTCCTGAAGGCCCATTATAGCCCTTTTCCCAGCACTCCAGCCTCTCTCGCTCTCTTCCATTACGCTCTGGACAGATGCCGGTTAAATGGATGTCTGGGGTATGCGGAGCCATGCTAACACAGCCTTATTTTTTCATTTTGGTCTGTATGTGAAAATCTTCAGTGTGAAATTCTATAATGTGTGCTGTTCTCAAGTGTCTGGGCTTCTGTGATAGATAGATAGATCGATAGATCGATAGATAGATAGATAGATAGATAGATAGATAGATAGATAGATAGATAGACAAATAGACAAATAGACAGACAGAAAAATTGATAGACAGACAGACAGATAGATAGATAAATAGATAGATAGATAGATAGATAGATAGACAAATAGACAGACAGAAAAATTGATAGACAGACAGATAGATAGATAGATAGATAGATAGATAGATAGATAGATAGACAACACATTTTGCACAATATATATATATATATATATATATATATATATATATATATATATATATATATATATATATATATATATATATATATATCAATATAAACAGTGTAAACATTATAGACAAAAGTACATATTGCATGACAAATTTAAGGACATATTCTATACTTAATCTGAATCATATCTATATATCTTCTCTATCATCTGTGTTATTGTTTATGTAAGCAAAATTCTACAAATTCTATTTGATATCTATAGATAATATACAAATCGTTATAAATAATATAATAATCTCTAAAGCAGAATTTATGGCGTAATATTTGGCCAAGGCTCCCATATTTGCAGATGAGGGTAAACAACTGCAAGGCTTCAGGGTTGTTGACCCTGCCCCCTATTTTGAATTAAACACACTTCCTTCTTTTCACCAGCACTCGCTCCCTCTGTCTTGTCTCTAATTCAGCTGAGTGCAGGGGGCTGGGGTGACGTATGAATGGGGCAGGAGAGAAGAATATGAGGGCAGGGGGAGGGGGATGTGGAAATGTTTTTTAAAATGGCTGCTGGGACAGTCAAGGGTCTTATTGGGTGGTAGAGAGGGAGGAAGCAGCCTGGGTCGCTTCTTTGTGGGCTAATCCCGTGTAATCTTGCTCTGAGGGGGCTGCAGGGAACGGCTTGGCCACACACACTGACGCGTGTCCGCTTACTCAATCATAAGGAGAGAGAAAGTGACTATAGGGCTGTGCACATGCTCAGTGCACCTTACCCTTGACGGACAGCTTTAGAGGCCCCTCTGGGAATTATCCTAAAGAGGGATGATAGTATTTTAGGAATAGCTGTCAGAGCTGTGATCATAAAGGTTACCCCTCTTGACATCATAAGCTTGTCTGGTTTTAGCATGTTTGACTTATCACGGTCGCAGAATCAAAGTAGAAATACTGTTTGTGATTGCACTTATAAAAATGTTAAACAAAAAAACAAAAAATGAATGAATATCCTTAGAAATGAAAACATATATATTATATAATTGAATTGAATTTAAATTATAATATGTAAAATGACTGAATCAACCTGACATTAGGTTACATCAATATTAGGTACAGCAATCAAAGTCTTTTTAAGGTTGAATCAGTTAGAAATATTTGGGGTCAGTAAGTTAGATTTTTTTCCGAAGGAAATTACTACTGATTCAGCAAGGATGGATCAAAAAAAGACAGTTAGATACATTAAAAAAAATGCTGTTTTGAACTTTCTATGCATTAAATTATCCTGACAAAATATATCATGGTTTCCACACAAATATTAATTAGCACAAGCATTTTAATTGTGTTAATTGTTTTTTTTTAAGTACCAAATCTGAATATAAGAATGATGTCTGAAGGATCATTTGACACTGGAGTAATGAAAACAAAGACTTGAGTAATGGTTGGACTAAAAATACTGCCAATTTATCCTTTACTACACAGATTTTTGTCCAATCAGAAACTTACTAGTTCATCCAGGTCCTTTTTTTCTTCTACTGTTTAAGACTACTGGAATACTGTGAATTCAGACATATACTTTTTTAACATACTGTTCTTCGCCTACTATATAGTAGGAAAGGGTGAATGCAGCCTATAATGAGGGCCAGTGATACGTCCCTTCCAAACTTATTGTTTCAATAGGAAATATCAACAGGTTAAAAAAATGAGTATTTGACCCTTGACAATACTGTGTAGGTGGAGCAAACACATCCAGACTGTCTGGGACTGGTTTAGAAATAGCTTTTATTCTTGTCGTTATCATGCATATTTTCCCACAGACACACTTTTGTAGGCTACCAGTACTGCCCTTGATTATTCAAATCTGCTTTGTAATTTCAATGTCTGCAGTGTCTAGTGTGGTTGTTATGGGATGTGCTTATGATCCGCTGCCTGTGTTTTGCAAAATAATGAGGCTTTTTCCCCATCCTGTACTTTATATAAATGTGACCGTGCACTAATGGATCCCTCCCTTGACTCACGGCAGACTAGTGTGCTGTTAAGAGCCACACAGGGCAAGAGGATGATGATTTAACCCACACTCCATCATCAGAGAGGAGCCGTCCTTTTCGTTGTTTATGCCATTAGTTCCTGACATACTGTATTGTTCATTTAGACCAATCTCTTGGTCCATGCAGTGGGCCTCAATGTCTCATTGGATAGCTAATAAATATCCTAAAATATGGCTAATTTAAAACAAGTACATTATTGAAAGTAATTTTAAAGGACATATAAAAATAGTTCCTTTACATAAGTGAATGTTTCTACTTTTTACCATGTCAGTTTAGTAATCAAGATTGCATAAAATATGTTTTTAGAGAATGACTGTTGGATTAAATGTATTTTTATTCATTAAAATTTGAATTATAATTTTTTTTCTTGCTTTAAGCATCTTCAATATACAGTATATCTTCATATATATATTTTAAAGTTTCCAGTGGCATGAGAAAACTGAAGTTATTATTAAAACCTTATTATTGTTTCTAAAGTAAATTAACCTTTTTAGGAATGTTTATTCTACTGTTCAAAAGTTTAGGGTGAGTAAGATTTGTAATAAATTAATACTTCTATTCAGGATGCAAAGTGACAGTAAAGACGTTATAATGTTACAAAAGATTTCAATAAATGCGTTTCTTCTGTTCATCAAAACATCCTGACACATTTCCATAAAGATATGCAGAACAAGAGGTATTTTAAATTGTAATGGTATTTCTGTTTTACTTTATTTTTGATAAATAAATGCAGCCTTGGTGAGCATAAACGACTTGTTTCATAAACATTAAAAATCTTACCAACCCCAAACCACTGAACAGTAGTGCACATATTTTTACTGGAAACAAGACTATAAAATTGCATAACATCTCAGTTTTTTATACTCTACAGGGGTTTAGCATGTCACATCTGTTCTCACACCCAGCCCACTCTCTCTCTGAACTGTTGCCTTCTGGTCTGCGCTACAGAGCACTGACCACCAGGACCACCAGAACAGCCAGGCACAAGAACAGATTTTTCCCACATGCTATATTCAGCCTGAACAATTAAACTTTCATAATTATACATCGTCCATGACAACTGACATATTTATGCACAGAATTCAAAAATTTGTACACTTGTAAAATGCACACTTTGTAAATAACATATCTGCACACTTATAACATATCTGTATATTTATTTAAACAATTACATTTTTCCTATACTTCTATTTCTGTATGTAGTACATTATTTAATTTCTTCTTTTTTTTCTTATATTAGTGTTATATTCCATCCCTACTGTGTTATTCTTATGTATGTCTGTACTTTCTTCTACACTGGAAGCTCCTGTCGTCAAGTCAAAGTCCTTGTGTGTGTAAACATACTTGGTAATAAAGCTCTTTTAATTCTGATTCTAAAAGAGTGGACAAAAAGGGTTCTTTCTTTTTCATCTTTCGCCTCTTCACCTGTAAGCTCTGTTTTTCAGAATGCTTCCTCCTGTCCAGTCAGACACTCTGGCAGAACCCCACACCCATCTCATCCCCATCATCCCAGTCGTCTCTCTTCACCTCTGCTTCCTTCCACTGCTTTGACAGTTGACCCCAATGTTCACACAAACAACTTCACACAGCACACTCTCCTTCCTCCATTAGACACACACTGACACACATACAGCTAGACCCCACATCCACACGTGTGTGACTTTATGAACACGTATTCAAACATTTCTTTCTGTGTCTGTCTCAGATGATTCCTCTTCAGAGAATTGCAGCACAGCGAACGGTCTGCCTGCACTGACTCCGCCTGGCGGTGCTGCCATGGCGACAGGAGGAGTTCCTGCATCTGAGGGGGTGGTTCCATACGGAGAGGTGAACGGTAATGGTGCCGCAGCGCCGCTGGACTTCAGCACCACTTCATCGTCCTCTTCCTCGCAGGAGGGACAGCAGCCTGTCAACCTGAGCGACAGACTCCCGCTCGGATCCTATGCTTCAGACCCCAACAGAAAATTCCCTGTTAAAACTGAGTACGGTAACAAGGTATAAGACAAAATGTTTCCACATTATTCTAAGAATTTGTATATGTTAAAATGTAAAGTAATAGTATGCATAATGGTGTTCAGATTTTGACATACTGTATGTTGTACAGTCCCCTCAGTATAGCTCAGGAAGCTATGACTCTGTGAAGACGGAACTGAGCACGTGCGGGGAGGACATGACCCCGGGCCGCTCACAGGTCATAGACGATGATGATGACGATCACGATGACCATGACGACAGCGACAAGATAAATGACGCTGAGGGCCTGGACCCTGAACGACTTAAAGCTTTTAATGTGAGACTGATTCCCTTAACTACTTTATCGCTCATATTTCATAAGGTGGACATTAGATTTTGTATTTTCTAGCTGTTAAGCTTCGGTTACCGACATTGCTTATGTTTGGAGGTACAGTGGAGTCCAAAAGTCTGACAAACACATTTGACAGACATTCAAAAACAGAGTAATCTTTAATGTAAAGCAAAGAAATGTAATTTACGTAAAATGAATAAGAATAATTCATTTATTTTGAGCTATTCTTAAATCATGGTGGTCTGGATTGGGACTAAAGCTAAAACTATTCAAAACATTTTTGTTAATCGAAATAAAGCAGAAATAAAATATAACTATTTAACGAAAACTCAAACTAAAAAGTTTTAAATGTTGCCTTGCCAACTAACTGAAATAGGTTTGGGTTGAAGTTCTAAAATTAATTACTGGAAATAAGTAAAAACTAAAATAAAACTGAAAAACTAATTGAAACCTAATTAGTAATATTTAAAAAAAATATATAGCACTAAAATTATACTAGTCTAATTAATATGATCATCAGGTTTTACACGGACTGGCGGAGTTCATGCAGCTTGAAAAAGCAAGTACGAAGACATACTGAAATTCTTATTGGCTTTTTAATTTCCACCTTTCTCTCAAATTGTTATGCTGGTAATATAAATTACATTGAGGAAAAAATCATTTTAATAAAAATAGATGCATTTCAGTGACCTGCTGAACCCTAATGATTATTTTCCTCTCAGTGCTAAAGTAGAAGATTCTCCTGTTACATTTCTCTTGCCCCTTCATGCTTACATCTTAATGACAAACATCAGATTAAATTAAATACAATTTTCCTTTTCCTGTTATATGCTCTATCCTTTTCTATTTCCTTTGTTGGACTGCTCTAATATTTCTTTATGTTTTCAGATGTTTGTGCGGTTGTTTGTGGATGAGAACTTAGACCGGATGGTTCCAATCTCAAAGCAGCCCAAAGAGAAAATCCAGGCCATCATCGAGTCCTGCAGCCGCCAGTTCCCAGAGTTCCAAGAACGTGCTCGCAAACGTATCCGAACCTACCTCAAATCCTGTCGCCGCATGAAGAAGGGTGGTTTTGAGGTAGGGAGACATGGGAATTTGCACATGCACTGACAAACAAACATGAACATCTGCCATAATTATCTGTGCTATGACAATACGACAGAAAATCCAAAACGTTTAACATGAAATTCAAGCTTGAACATTTTTCTGCTACACACCATTCAATAGCAAACTACTGCCCTCTAGTGGCTGATACAATCACAGCCAGTCAATTTTTAACCCTGGTACTTGATTACCACAGCACTGAACATTATTATTTACCAAGCCTGATTCAACTCATTAGCTCCATGACCTGAACTAAGTGTGCTAGATAGTAGAAACATCCAAAATGTGCACTCTCAGAAAAAAAAACACAAAAATGTCAGTTGGGTGGTACCCTTACAAAAGTTACTAATATGTACACTTTAGGTACTAATATGTACTTTTAAAGTATTAATATGCACATTTGTGTTACTAATTTTTACAATCTAGGGGTAAATAAGGTCCAAAATGTACCTATTAGCTTTTGTACCTTAGGATACTGCCCCAGTAACAGCTTTGTATCTTTTTTCTGAGTGTGTAGAGCTGTCATGATTGAAAACAGTGAGAGTCACTGCTCTTAAAGAACGGGTTCAATGTTTAGCCAATCCATATCTTATTTTCTGCATCTCAGTGGAATTAAATGTAGTCAAACAGGCATTTCTAGAAACTATTGTGCTAGTAGAGCCGAAGACTTACAGAAATCAAATGTTTTTTTTTAAACATGAATGTATATGAGTAGTTGCAACCAGAAGGATGTATGTCTATACTGTTATTTTCCCCTTTTAAATGATCTTTTGTTAACTCTTTAATAGAATATCCATTTGAATGAGTTCAGTTCCAGAGAAAGGCTAAAATAATACAGATTTTTACTACAGTAATTGGTAACAGTTTAAATAATAATATGGCTTAAAAACACCATCCTACAAGATTAGAACATTGTAAGAAATTCATAAGGTGATGACATTTGCCCTTTTTCTGCCCTCTCCGATGGTGTCAGACACGGCCCACACCCCCTCACCTCACCTCTGCCATGGCTGAGAACATCCTTGCAGCAGCATGTGAGAGCGAAACACGGAATGCTGCTAAGAGGATGCGCCTTGACATCTATCAGGCCCATGTGAGTGCATGTGTGCATTGATCTCTAGATCTTTAATCAAATTGAATGGATTCCAGAAAATGTTGATGGGTTTTTAGATTACTTGGTGAGGTATCCGTGTCTTTCTTTGTCCTTCCATTTTGTCCATACAGGATGAGTCAGTTGCAGCAGACAAGCCTAACTCCAAAGATCCGGCTGCTCTGGCTAACTCAGGCTTCACACTGGCCGCCTCGGCCTACTCCCAGGACCAACTCTACACCAATGGTGGACTTAATTACAGTTTCCGTGGATACGGGACCATTGGCAACAGCCACCAAAACAATGGCACATCACAAACTAATGGTGGGTGAAATGCATATTGTAGTAACCCTATTCTAGTCTTTTCTATAGATCTACTAGATAATTATTTTACATAAATGTCTCTTTCTTTCTTTTTAGGTCCCACTGATCTCAGTATGAAATCTTTGGCATCCAACAGCACTTCCTCCTCCAGTTCAAACAGTCATGGTCAGGGTGGAGGGGGCGGAGGGGCATCTGCCCAGCTCAGCCCGCCTGAGGTCACGGCTGTTCGGCAACTGATTGCGGGTTACCGTGAGTCTGCGGCCTTCCTGCTCCGCTCTGCTGATGAGCTCGAGAACCTCATACTGCAGCAGAACTGAGAACTGCACACAGGCTGGTGCTGCCCGTCTCTCATTACATTAACACACACATAAATGCACAATATGACAGGAAAGATACATGTAGCTATGTGCACTTACATATATATATATATATATATATACACCTAAAGCCCATAGGCGGAGTTTGACACCACTTAGGGGGAGCAAAATGGAGGGATCAGAAGAAGCTGTATCTGAAACGCACATACAGGGTACAAAATTAAGAACATTTACCAGCCATAATAATCTCAGGTTCACTGGCCATGAACCTGTATTTTGCATACTTTTTTTAAACATAACATTTTATTTAAATGTAAATGATTTATTATTATTATTATTGCATATTTTCAGTAAAAAGCAAAGCACAGGTCATTGTTTCACTTGCTGCACCATATATTGGCCAATTTATATATGAAACGCTACCTCTCATAAAAACTTTAAAGTAATTATGGTCTTTCTTGCAGTGTAACCATGAATAACTGGTAACTTTATTTGGAATGGCAACATAATACATGGATTTTATTTTAATATTTTATTGCACTGTAGTAAAATGTTAAAATAAAAACCATGTATTATGTTACCATTCTAAATAAAATTGCCAGCCAAACTTGCATTTGGCAAGTTTTTTTTTTTGGCTGATACTATATAAGGGGCTTTACACAGACTTGTTAATGCACATAGAGGGAATAAATGTACTCAAACAGAAATTGCAGTCACTAGAATCAATGTTTAAGGCACTTGAAGTATCTTGTTGATTCTTGTGCACAGCAAACAAAATGTATTGACACAGAACAAGAAAAAGCTAATTTTGCCCACAACAATAAAATGAATGAAAAGATCATATATTTATTAATATAATTTAGTAAACGATTTAATATAATTTATTAATGCATTTATGAAGATAACTTTATTTCTAAGCTTTACAAAAGCAAAGATAAAACAGCTCCAGACACTCGAATCCCCCCAAACTCTGCCTATGCTCTTTCTATAAACCTACCTATCACACATTGCTTATGACAGCTTTATGTCCATGATAGTGTCTTTATCAAATTTCCTAACCTTTGAGTCCAGCGAGGCTTAATCCTTTTCGGAGGGCTGAGATGACTTGTTAAACGTGGTTTTATGATGAGATGGTCAGAACACAAAGCAAGAGGTGTCTGTACTCACAGCAGCATTGCAAGTGTCTTGCACAGAGCACAATCACACAGTGAGAGCTATCAGTCCACCACAGAGAGTTCAGATTTTGAGACACACACAAAAAAACAAATAGCTGTAAATGTAAGAGTGATGCCCAAAACATACACAAAATGATGTCATCACCTGCCTAAAATTTACGCTATGGCACAAAATATTACTGTCAGATTACAGTCCTATATGTCAATGGCATCTTGTTTTATAGAATTTGAAAAGTTCCTCAGATGTATTAGTTGTTCTCTTACCATAGACAAATCCGTGCAGCAGCTTTGCTCCAGATATAGCCATTTTAGATATAGAACAGATCTAAGAGAAAAGGGTTTTTGTAAGATCTCTCTTCTTCTGTTCAATGCTAATGAGGTTTGGGGAGAAGGTGCAATGTAGATGATAATCGTTATAGTGTGTCAGTGTCTGAAAATCTATCATTTTCAATCATAAACACATTAACAGATGTCTTTTGTACATATATATTCCTCATTCAAATGTAAGAAATTTCATCCTAGCTTACACATGCACACTTAAAAGTCTACGAAAAGAAACCGTGAGTGCAAAAAAGAAGATACTGAAATTCTATTGGCTGGGAATGTTGGACATTATGCAAATGAAGCTGTGCTGAGTTGAACGCTTTGAACCCTTTCCTAAATGCTCAATTGCCTTGGCAAACCTCCATCCTCAGCACATCCATGCACTGTAGGAACACGAGCGACATCGACCTCCCAGACAAGAGGGCCGTAGATGGACTTGTTAAAAAAAAATCCGAAAAAAAAGCAAGGACTGCATTTCCCATGCTGCACTGCGTCGAAAACACATTCTGTTAAGTTGTGAATGCTGCTCTTTTTTTCTAACCTCATGACTGAGACACTTTCATCTTCACGGGAACCAATCAAAACAGAGGGACTTAACATCCTATTGGCACACATACTGTATATGCATAGTGAGTTTGAGAGAAAGGACCTAATATTAGCAGAAGTGAAACAAAGGTGACATCCATTCCTTTCAGTCAGCAACAGCCAAGAGCTTAAAGAGGCATTGATTGGTGGACTAAGGTAGCATCATCCACAGGAACCGAGTGTAGAACATTGACGATGCACTGCCCCTCAAACACCAGCCTCACTCTTCCTCCTGCCTGCATTTTTACATGTTCACAAATGCCATTGTTAAAAAACTGTATGTAAAAAAAGCAAAAGACAATCCTGAACAATTGTGACTTGATCCCTCGGAAAACGGCATAGCGTTGTGTGAGATCTCACTCTGACTCTCTAGCCTTTAGTGGAGTGGTGACAATACAGGGCCTTCAAGTCTTGTAGCCATAGCTTGAACCGTGTCCTCACTCTGCAACATGAGCATTTTCCTCTGTTAAGCTGCAAACATTCTTTTTTTATTATCTGGATATATTTAATTCTGTCTTGCCATTCCAGTTGTGCTTTATTTGTTGTTTTGTGTTCCTTTTTTATTTAGTAAATGAAATAGATTTTTTTTGTTGACTTTTTCTTTAAAACCTCCGGTTGTAGGACACTGACAGTCTAAAGGGAATCAATGTTGCGAGTCTCAACATTCCAAATGTAAAACATGCATCTCATATTGGTCTCCAAATGACTGAATACAAAAACCAAATGACGCAACTTCTAAAGAGAAAAAACTAAGTTGTCTTCAACAGCTTAGTTTTGATACGTGGCTCAAAGCCTGCTTATTACCTCTTACTTGTTACTCATAAGATTCATCGATGAACAGATGAAATTATATGTGCAGGATCATTAGGTAAGATATATTCAGATGTTACACTTTATAAATTATTAAATTGGTTAACATAGTAGCACTTTACAATCCGCGAAGGAAAAATGTTTATGGGATGGAGCCTTAAAACCACCTAAATGATCCTAAATTATGAAATGCAGCTGATCATTCTCAAGCCATAATGTTCTGTCTTTATTTGCTCTGCATTGTAATTATTTGTTCCCTTACACCATGCAGGAGAATGTGAACCCGTCAAGCATTGGGCTTTGAGTTGAGAAAAGAAAAATGTATCTGGGCTTATTCGAATGAAATGGTGATTGCAAGAAAGCGAGCATTTGAATTTACTTACACCAGAAATATGTTGGTGTACTGAGAGTTCAAAAGTTGTACCAGGCCATTGATTCTTGTTTACTTGGACTTTTTTGTTCCTTGTTTTGTACATTTTGTTTCTAAATGACATTAGAAGTGTAAGATTTTTAGGAAGCTGTCTGGACATCTGAGGCTCGTGAACACACGACACATGAAAAGGAAAAGGCAAGAAATTGTACAACTTTTTTTTTTTTTTTAACCGTGCAGCTAAACTCTGCAATCAAATGTGGTAACAACCATTGCCTGTGATAATTTTTAATTTTGTGGTGCTTTGTAATATTATTATGATTATGGTATTTTATTTGTTTTTACTCCTGTACTTATTAGAAACTATATATATATATAAATATCTGTGAAGCGCCTAAAAAATGGAGATGGCAGGTGAAATTCATTTCTGTTTGTTTAATGTAAAAACAAAGAAAAGAAGAAAAAAAATGAAAAAGCACAGGTGGGTGAATTTCCTGCCTTTTACATATCACTTTGCCGAGAGACTCATTCTAAGACATTTTAAAGTTTTCAGTGTGGTGTCATCGCTGTGGTCAGAGAAAGCACCTGCAACCCGAGTTGCTCTTTCCTCCAGAGCTGTCTGAATAAAATCTGTGAACTGAAGTCGCATTGCAGTCTGCCTTTCTTTCATTGGCCATGATCACTATTTTCTTGTCCTATGTCAGCAGCATGAAAAGCAAGTGTTTTTGTAGTTTAGTCTGTTGTTTTCCCTGAGCAGGATGCACTATTTAGAGTTCCTCAGCTCACACCGCCACAGTGCTACCATTTGGAGAAACTCTAGACTGCTTTAATTGGAGTCTAAAACTTTTTCCATATGATGGCATTACTGGAAGAACTGCGGACACTCTTTAGAGTTCTTGCAGAAACTTTCACGGTTTTGAAAACGACCCTTTTTGAAAAGTCTAGAAATTCTCCAGAGGGTTCTGGCAGCGTCTCAAATCTGTAAAACCCCATATGGTGGCTCAAGTTTCTTTTTTCCTGCAGTGTTAAAAACGGCAGCTTTTATTATGATGCAATGAAAAGAGGCCTCATACTATACTGCACGCAAGTGTACAAAATGTATTACATTATGGAAAAGATAATGTCATCTCAAAGGCAAATTGGAACAGTAGCTATCCCAATTTACCTAAATTCATTCAACATATTAGGCCTATATAAAGTAAAATCTGCAAATATCTGTCTAATCTTGCTCACTTTTTGATTAATGTAGGAAATGAATTGTTTCTGTCATATATGCATACTACATGCTCTGGATCTGAACTTCAAGGCGTGTAAAGCTCGCTGAGTTTCGTACCTGTTTAAACTGTGGTCGTGTCTCAAATCTGATTGTGCTACATAACTAAACAGCATTCTTGGGTACAGGCGCTGTCAGAAATGCTGTCCAGGTTGACGGCGGTTGAGGCACAACCTGTCCTGTGTGTGCTCCTCCCAGCTCTTTCACTCGAGTTTAGTCATTTGCCGGTGGAGGACTCCGCTTCCACGTACCATCAGTCCGGAACCTGTTACAGTCATCGATTAACATTCAAATGAAATGTCCAAGGAAGGGCGCCGCTCGTGCCCCGGTTTGGGGGCGCTTTGTGAGAGACTGTTTGGGTCGTCTAAGACCGAAGTTGAAAAACCAGCGAATACCAGCAAACTTGAGACACAAAATGCCCCGAATCCGCCCTCTTCTGAGCCCGCCGGTGAAATCTACACGGCGCTGTGGCACTTCCAGGCTCGCGCGGACGAGGAACTGTCCTTCCAGGAGGGAGAGCAGTTCCGAATCTGCGAGCGTCAGGGTGACTGGTGGACTGCCGTTAAACTGGACAGAAACGGAAGGGTGACAGCCAAGGGCGTCGTTCCTCAAAACTACCTAGCGAGAAGGAAGACGGTGAAAGAGCAACCGTAAGTAGGTTACTTTCTTTAGTCCATCTACTCTGTCCATCTATTTTTTTTTTCAGACCATTTACTCTTTGAGCAAAAACAATACACAGACACTCTGGGTTGGCTTTAAAAAAAACATCTGATAAATAATTAAATGTAAAAATACACAAATAATAATAATAACAAAATGAACACCTTTATGACTAAAAACAATGTCAGTTCAGAGTAGCCTACAGCGTGCAAATACTTTTCAAGAGTCAAATTATTCCTGTCCCAACTCTGCTCATCATGAATGTGGTTTGAGACGTGTGTGCAACATCTGAACAACTGTGTTTTTCTTTAGTTGGTATTTTGGGACGCTGAACCGTTTTGAGACCCAGAATTTGCTCTTGGCTCCAGGGAATGGAGTTGGTGCTTTTTTGTTGCGACACAGTGAAAGAGATCATATAGGGTGTGTATTATCAGGTATGTAATTGTGTCTATTGAACCTGGTTTTAAACTCAAGCTGCATTTTACATCCCGTTCCGCCTATGCTATTAGTCTATACAAGTAACACGGCATACCCAACGTCATTGTTATAATGTAGTAAATTAATCTCTGAGGCATTTGCTTTTTGTTACACTGGAAATGTAGTCAATCAGGTCATAATTAGACCTGCTGTGCTTCTAGTCCAAACATGTTCTTCTCTCCTGTTCGGTTAATTCACTGTTTTCCAACCCTGTTCCTGTAGGTTACACTGATTAAAGTGTGTTTTATTGGAAAAAGTTCAAAAATGTATAGTGTTGGTGTGCCTCAAGGAACAGGGTTGGGAAAAACTGGGTTAATTCATGCTAGATGCAGTTCATAAGAAAATCTGTTAACAGTGCTCCTACTATCTGTATCCTTTCTCTTTGTGTGTCATTCCATCAGTGTTAATCAGTGACAGGGAAGTGAAACACATTAAGGTCCATCAGAATCAGAATGTAAGTTTCTATTTGGATCAGAGTCAGATGTTTCAAAGCCTGGAGAATCTGGTGGAGCACTACAAGAGGAACATCATGAGCTGTGGTATCTGTCTCACACGGCCATGTGCACGGGTGAGTGAAAGAAAAATCATTAAAGTAAAATTTGACATTGTTTACATACATCATGTTTTTTCCAAAATTTTCTTTCTTCTGTGAAACACAAAAGGTGAATTTTTGAAGAATATACTGGCCACTCTTGAACGAAAGTTATAGTAGGATTGATGCTGCTGTAGGGGAATTTACAGTTAAACCCAAAGGACCAGTTGATGAAATGACGAACATGAGTCAGAGATGCAATCAACTGAAGAAAATAGTTTGCAGTTTCATTAGCAGAAGTCAGCTTCAACACTCTCGATGGAGTTCGTAGGCCGCTCTGTGTACATGCTCAAAACACCAGCAATTATACTCTTCAGAGGTTACTAATTACGTCAAGGTATAGGTCCGGAGGATTCTGATTGGTTAAAACATAGATAAACTTAGAAAATCTCCACACATGGACGTAAAACTCGAAGCATATCTTCTAGTGATTATTTTGGTGACAAGTGATCAGAGGTCAGACTCAATAGGTCTCTCCAGAGACATATATCTGATACCCCGGACATCAGGGTGATGGCAAATGACGGTTCACTCCTGGACCTGTATCTATCTGCAAAGACAGACACTCACATATGCATAGAACACTGATCTGTACTTAAAGGGGTCAAATGACATTGCTAAAAAAACATTATTTTGTATATTTGGTGTAATGAAATGTGTTTGTGCGGTTTAAGGTTAAAAAAACACATTATTTTCCACATACTGTACATTATTGTTTCTCCTCTATGCCCCGCCTTTCTGAAACGCGTCGATTTTTACAAAGCTCATCGGTCTGAAAAGCAAGGTGTGCTCTGATTGGCCAGCTATCCAGTGCGTTGTAATTGGCTGAATACCTCAAGCGTGTGACGGAAATGTTACGCCCCTTACCATACTGTGATGCCGTGTCCCGGAGCGACAAGACAAAAACATTAAACCCCATTATAAACGAGGCATTTGTTGCATCCAGTATGGACATAATTACGGATTATAATGACTTATACTGTCTTTTTATGCGTTGCGTTGCATCGCGCCACGTAAACATAAAACCATGTCTGCATTTGTGATCGGAGAAACGACAAACAACAAGCGCTACTCTACACTGCCCAAAACTTGCGTTTGAATCATCAGTGGCAAATCCTTTAAATATGAAAACGTACTTCCAGTCTGTCAGTCAGAACAGCCAGCATTGTAGTCTACTCTACCAGGATCAGGTAACAGTCCTCCATAAAATGTGCTGCACACATCTGAATATTTGGGTTGAACTGTTCTGGAACAGTGTTGTAAATACAACTTAACCACTGATTTCTAGTTGTGTCCTCTTTTGTAAGGCCAAACAAAGTATTTTCGCTTTTGTAACGAAACACACAGCATCTTCACGACATGGCGGCAGCGGCAACAATAAAGTTACGCCTTCTTTCTTTGCGTGAACATTTGAGCGGCGTTATGCAAATCTTCCCACACAGTGACCTAGACATGTGGGGGCGTGTTTAAACGAGGCATTTTAGAAGGGCATGGACCAGTCTTAACTTTTATAAAGAATATCTCTTTGGGTTTGTGACTTTAGTCTTTGCAACTTTAGGTATCTTATCTATTCACAAACAGCTTGCAACACTCCAAAAAGAAAGAAAAACTTGAAATAGCATCATATGACCTCTTTAAAGGTTGCTGGGCTCTGCCAAATCAAATAAAGCAATAAGCCCCAAGAAGCCGTGGTTTACAGTGAATTTATAACAGCTAAGGGGCGTTGTTTTATAAAACAGTTATTCCATTTACGTAGTAAGGTTTCACAAAATAAAACAGAGCAAATAAAGTGTAATGATATTAATAAAAACAGTGTTCTTATACCAAACAATGTAGTTCCTCAGAAACAGTTGTGGTTGCAACCAGAGCCGTTGAGAAACAGAGTTGCGACATGCTTTGATCTCGCCGCCACGCGGTTCATGGAGCTCTCAATAGTTCCAAACAACTCCGCGCTGTCAATATGTTTGAATGGGTTTAAGTAGGATAGACAGCAGTTTCACTATATTTTCAGCAATTTCTTGTGATTATTAACACATCATGTGCATTTATTGTGTATCGATAACTGACTACGTTTTACAATCGCATTTTATTCTGGGGAGTTATGCAGAGACAGCATTAATATTTTTTCTAATACGCTTATTATTGATATTACAATTAGTGTAGTATTTAGGGTTAAAAGAGTGCAAAGATGCAAATTAGAGATGTTTGGTGGCCAGAAAAATAATACTCCTATGTAATGCCATGGTTTAACCACTAGATGCCCGTATGGCTGTTTAATAAATATAGCCTACATATATTTAGCTCTAGTCTAGTTGCTGTAAAGAGTTTTACCAGTCATAATAGCTTATTTATTTATTTTATGTTTTGCATTTTATATTTAGACATTATCAAACACTCAATGTTTATAAGTTTTGCTTTTTTTTAAATGGTGAATTTAAAAAGATTAATTAGGCTACTCATATCCCAGCATTATTTTATGACATTTATGTAAGAAGACAATATAAGTTAATGTTAAAAAAGGCCAGCAAATACGGAATTTAACCCAAAAAAAAAAAAAAAAATAACGTTTAATTAAAAAAACACAAGGCAACCAACTGCATTCAGGGAAACTTTGTTGTATTCCTTTAATGGGCAGTCTTCACTGAAACTCATTATCTGTCGAAAGTCACGGCGCGGGCCCTGGGTCAGACGATGTCCACATTGGTGGTCCAGGAGCGCCACCTATGGCTGACCTTGGCGGATATGAGGGAGGCCGACAAGCATCGCTTCCTGGACTCCCCGATCTCCCAGGCCGGCCTATTCGGCGAAGCGGTGGAGGGCTTTGCCCAACAGTTCTCCGCCGCGCAGAAGCAGACGGAGGCGTTTCGACACATCCTGCCCTGGCGGTCTGCTGCTTCCTCTTGGTGGCGCCATACTGGCCCAGTCGGACTTGGTTCCCCGAACTGATGCTCCTCGCGACAGCCCCTCCTTGGCGAATTCCTCTGAGGAGGGATCTCCTTTCTCAGAGAGGGGGCACCCTCTGGCATCCGCGTCCAGACTTGTGGAATCTCCACTTATGGTCCCTGGACGGGACGTGGAGGTTCTAGGTGTGCTACCTCCAGCGGTAGTAAACACCATCGCTTCAGAGACGTTACGTTCCGTCGCCACAGTTGCTGTACCACCACTGTACGGCCGGGGCACGTAGTCTCGGCTCCTCAGCGAAAAACTGATGTGCGACGCTCTCCTTTTATACCCGCGCTGCGGGGCGGGGTGCGCGTGGCGAAACACGCACGCCAACTGTCATTGGCTTGTTTAGTTAACACTCGAAGGTGATTGGGCTCTCGGGCGAGATCCCAATTCGTCAGTCACTGACGTAACGTCTCCGTTCCCTCCTTCAGGGAACGAGGGTGACACAAGTAACCTAGATGTTTTAACAGGGGGGCAAACACTTCTTCACACAGGGCCATGTAGTTTTGGATTTTGTTTTCCCTTTATAATAAAAACCTTCATTAAAAACTACATGTTGTGTTTACTTGTGTTATCTTTGACTAACATTTAAATTTGTTTGATGATCTGAAACATTAAAGTGTGACAAACATGCAAAAAAATAAGAAATCAGGAAGGGGGCCAACACTTTTTCACACCACTGTATATATATTTTGTGAAGGTTGCAATGGCTCCAGGATTCCACTCCTTCACTGTCAAGCTTCAAAATGACCAAAAAGTATAATAAAAGTGAGCCACATGATCTCCGTACAATATTTCAAGTCTTCTAAAGTCATCAAATACATAGTTTATCCCCTACATTCTTGACATTCATGGCCATCCTGTCTTTGGCAAGTTCATAAGAGCAGTTCATTCTAATCAATGAATCATCTGATTTAATGATTCCTTCACACTATGATGCTTTTACATCCATTTTGAAAAGACATCCAAGCTTGAAAGCTTCTGTTTCCAGATTTGATTTGACATGAGGGTGTGTAAAATCGGTTTTGAGTGAACTATATGGGCGAACAGTTTTGGGTGAACTATAAAAAGACAGTCAGAAGAAAGACGGGATCTCAGCCAATTAACATACTAATCTGATGCTAATTGTCTTTTGAAATAGAAGAGCTTTTGTCAGTAAATTTAAGATGAAATAACTAGGCATGTTGAATTTCCTCACAGGCCTGATATTTCACACATACAGGGGTTGGACAAAATAATGTTAACACCCATTATTATGGGGTTAATCTAATTTGTGTAGACTACAGTGGGGAAAAAACTGAGATTGTCTTATTTATAAACTGGCAGATGTTTTTATAGATTCATACAACTGAAGACTATTCAAAAGTTGTATGAATCTATTCTAAGAAGGTTGGATGCTGTTTTAAGACCTACATGGTCAAATTATTTTGTCCAACCCCTACATATTTTGCCTATAATATATAGAAAGAGAGATTCCCATATATCAGCAAACTGAATTATTACCACAACTGAATGTACAATATGTATACGTAACTAAATGCATTTGTCTGTATTACTGCATACTTCCCTTACAGAGTTTCTCTCGGTTTCTTCTTATACTAACAGCCAGAACCAAAACCACAGGATCTTTCCCACCAAACAGTAGATGACTGGGAGTTACCTAAGGAGGAGTTCACTCTGGAAGAGGAGCTTGGTAAAGGATACTTTGCTGATGTTTACCGTGGAAAATGGAAAGGCATGGTCAATGTGGCCATCAAGATCCTCAAAAACAACGGTAGGGTTGGTGCATGTAAATAGAAAAGAATCATCTGAAGGCTAAATGAAGGAATGAGTCTGATGGATATTTTAAATAGAATGGGCTACTTCCTCTTTGCCTACTTGTTTTCTGTTCCTGATACTGTGTGAATGTGAGAAATGTTGTGTTTCTTGTTCTGTGACTGTGAGAGCTGGAGGAATGAGAACACAGTCTACTGCCCTCATAACCGATATCCAATAGAGCATGTAGCACACTGAGAACTCTTGAAGAATATATCTAAAACCTTGTTAAGGCTTTGTCTGTCAGCCTATTAGTGAAAAATTCCCCTGAATGAGTAAATTTTTGTATTTTGACAGATGTATTAATACATATTCTATTGCTCCAGCACACTGTTGTACTGATGCTTATCTGATGTGCTCTATTGTGTTTCCTACTCTTCCTCTAGAGTCTCTCGATCACAGGGAGTTCCTGATGGAGACTCAAATACTGAAAAAGCTGAGACACAGACATCTTATCACACTCTTTGCCGTCTGCACAAGCTCCACCCCCTTCTACATCATCACTGAGCTTATGGAAAAAGGAAACCTGCTCAGTTTCCTCCGAGGTCACAACCTCTTTATTATCTGATGTCAGCCCAGTAAATATCAATGTTTTTTGACTTCAGCTTTAAATGTTTACTGTAATATGTCAATAAGGGTAATTTATATGTGAGCTGTTTTGAACACAAACACTTTTTGAGTTTTATGCATTGAATGAGAAAGTCAAATCTAAAGGCCCGGTCACACCAAAAACAATAACTATAACGATAACCATAATTATAACTATATTAGTGTCCACACCAATGCATGATAATGCTCTGTTTATTGTAAGTGCACACTGCTATTCCGTGACCTGCTCTGTAAAGTTTAATAGATTCTGACTGGCTGTTAGTGTTTATTATCATATTCATCAGCTGAAAAAAAAAACATTTTGAAAGTGCTTCCAACTATATCGTTTTATAGTTGTTATTGTTATAGCTGTTAGCTGGACTTCCCTATTCTCATATAATTTAAATCATCCTTGTTGTGAACAGCCCGTAAGTCTTTGTTTTCTAATGATATCATTGTTTCTACTCCAAACAGTTGTTGAGATATAATCATTTAAATATCATGTATCACAAAAACTTGTTTCTGAGATAAGGGCCTCTAAAGATGCCAAACAATTTTCAAAATTATGAGATTTATTCAAACATACATTAAAAAAAATCTTATTGAGAAATCAATAAGTTAGTTAAAAAATGTAATGCTTTTAAAATATATTAGTGCACATTTAACAGTATATTTAAAATGTTGGCGATATGCTCTTCTACAAAGTTCTTTTTTCTACCTATGTATTGGTAATGAGCTAAGGATATGAATGACTTTCCTAAGATAAATGTAGCTTTACGTGACATCTTTTCAAGCTGTTTCATAGATATATTTCGGTAATTATAAAAACAGATTCATTGAGCGACTGCATGAGAGATTTTTTAGTACGTTTTACTGTATATTTCAACATTTCCTCTCTGATGTTCGTTCATGTTTTTCTTTTTTTTTGTACAGAGGAAAAGATGATCGGTTACTTGCGCTCGGCATTTCCATTTGAACTAGAAGCTACAGTGATAATAATCTGTCACGCGACATTTATTATTGGAATTTAATGATCGTTAATAATGATATCCTCAATAAATGAACATAAAAAAACTTTTTTTTGTTGCTTAGAATCGCATTAGAAACAAATGACTGCGACTGCGTTTTGTTTTTCTGTACAAAAACTAAAGTCTTAAAGCAGACAGACATGATTCCTTCAGTTTTCCCTTTACAGGTGAGGAGGGGCAGAACCTGGAACCGCAGGAACTGATAGAAATGGCAAGTCAGGTGGCTGATGGGATGGCATACCTTGAGGAGCAGAACAGCATCCACAGAGACCTGGCAGCCCGGAATGTTCTAGTGGGACCCAACTACATCTGTAAAGTGGCCGACTTTGGCCTAGCTCGCATCGTCAAGGTGAGGATGACCTTGTAGTTAATCAAAGATGTGTGTAAAATATTCACTCTTAAAGTTTGCTTAAAATAAAATATTGTTTCACAGGACCCATTTTACTCATCTGAAGATAAAACAATTCCATATAAGTGGTGTGCTCCTGAAGCCATCAGCCATGGAAGGTTCTCCAACAAATCTGATGTTTGGTCATTTGGGGTCCTCCTATATGAAATGTTCACGTATGGTGGAGTCCCATATCCAGGTATATACATCATTTATGTATCTTCTTTCTCATGCAGATTTGAGAAAGGTTAAAGTACATCTTTTTTGTGTATATTTTTGCAGCTTTCTCAAATCAAGAGGTGTACAATATGATCACCTCGGGGTACAGAATGCCTTCGCCCCCTAAGTGCCCGTCACACATCTATGACATAATGCTGATGTGTTGGAAAGACTCACCTCACGAAAGGCCAGATTTCAATGAACTGAGAAGGCTCCTGGAGAACCCCAGTACTGGATACATGGAATGGACCTCTGAGAGCTGCAATGACACATCAGATCCAGCAGAAGGCATCAGTTAACAGTGCCATGCAAAGATAAATGAGTGGGAATGTCCCAAAAATAGTTGTTTATGTATCTAAACACCTTTCCACTCATTTTCACCCCTTTTTACAGTATTCACACACTTTCACTTTTTTGTGTGCTTATTTTCTAATTTAATTTGTGAATTATTCACATTTAATATAATCGAGCATTCCTCAAATCTACTTGGATAATACTAGTTGATACTGAAGATTATTTTTTGACTACCTTTTTTTCCCATCCCGATTTGGAGACAGATAAGTTTCCGAATTGATCACATGGACTTAAAAATAAAACCAGTTTAATGTTCATTATTAACAGGTTATACCTTCGTACTACATAATAACTTCCCTTCACCAGATCTGCACTCTGAATTTTAAATTAATGGTATGTATATAATATAAATAAATTTTTGCATCAGAAATTTCAATAAATGATCTGTTTTTCAGTAGGGACTGGAAGGGACTTAGTGATCTTTGAAAGTTACAGTGTTTTTATAGTTCAATGAAATGAAGGATTTATCATAATATGACCCATTTAAATCTCTCTACTGCAAACAAGCTCTTAAACGTGAGAGAGCGAGTACACAACATCCAGAAAAGAACAAGTTTGGCCAGTTCCTGTGGACGCAGGTCATTTCACAATCTCTAAAAACTTTCCACTGCAGTTTTCAGTTGGCACAGTGCAGTCGGTTCACAAGTAGATGCTAACCGACCCTCCAAATGATTTAAAACCACAGAAATATACTAGTCATTACACCAGACAGAATGTGCATTTCATGAAAAAAAAGTGATTCATTGATTGTGTGACATTCATGGATTAGATATGATTTTGGACTATTTATACTTTTCGTACAAACACACACACACACACGTACTACAGATGCAACACACCCTGCTGATTGTTGCTACTGCTGAGACATTCAAACTCAGTAACATGAGTGTTGCCACAAAGTGTTCATGTTGTGGGTGCATGGCGGGCAGAAATAGAATTGAGAACACTTGCCTGGCCAGACTAATCGGAAAAAACTGACAGGATGTTCAGGAAGGTGACATCTGCGTGATGATTGACATCTCTGGAGAATTTTGAACACCTCTTGTGCTCTGCATTCAGACACCCAATCATTCAGACTTCAGCAGCAGGGCTACAAATCAGAAAAGAGTTAAAGAGGGTTATAACGAAGGCCTTGTATACATTCATGCTGTCTGTTTTCTTTTAAATAATTGATCTGCTTTTCAGTTTTCATCTCAGCTTTAAGTGTTTGTTGAAATACAATCACAGCCTTGTTTCACAAAGCAGTATCACAAGGGCTGTTTGGTTACCTGTCACTCCCTGTCGAACTTACATTAAGCCCAAGAGACATATTTCTTCAAACAAGTGGTGTGTGTTGTGCTATTTATTTTACTTTGCTTCGTAAATCTGTTTTATAAAATACTGTTAAGTAGGTTTGTAGTACGTTTTACCATGTTTCTGGATACAAAATAGGTGAAAAACATGCCCATACACAAATACCAGTTGATATAAATGATTAGCTAATAAGTGAACTGAAATGCACGTTGTATTGTTTTATTATCTTGAGCAAGATACACAATATTTTACTAGATTTTAATCACATGTAGCAAAGAGAAAAAGATTTACAATGTAGCCATATGGTTCTATGTTTAGAGGTCTTGGGACTGGGTCAGTCTTACTAGTACTAGTATACCTAATCATTCAGAGGCTGTTTAAAGGGGTCATATGATGTTGCTAAAAAGAACATTATTTTGTGTATTTGGTGTAATGAAATGTGTTTATGCGGTTTAAGGTTCAAAAAACACATTATTTTCCACATACTGTACATTATTGTTTCTCCTCTATGCCCCACCTTTCTGAAACACGTCGATTTTTACAAAGCTCATCGGTCTGAAAAGCAAGGTGTGCTGTGATTGGCCAGCTATCCAGTGCGTTGTGATTGGCCGAATACCTCAAGCGTGTGACGGAAATGTTACGCCCCTACCATATTGTGATGATGCCCTGTCAGGCCGGGCGATGATTCAAAAACATTCGTTGCATCCAGTGGAGACATAATTATGGATTATAATGACTTATACTGTCTTTTTATGCATTGCGTTGCATCGCGCCGCGTAAACATAAAACCATGTCTGCATTTGTGATCGGAGAAATGACAAACAAGCGCTACTCTACACTGCCCAAAAAACTCGCTTTAAATATAAAATCTCTTTAAATATAAAAAACGTACTTACAGTCTGTGAGTCAGAACAGCCGGCATTGTAGTCTACTCTCCCAGGATCAGTAAATAGTCCTCCATAAAATGTGCTGCACACATCTGAATATTTGGGTTGAACTGTTCTGGAACAGTGTTGTAAATACTACTTAACCACTGATTTCTAGTCGTGTCCATTTTTGGAAAGCCAAACAAAGTAGTTTCGCTTTCACAACGAAACAGCATCACACACGGCGGCCTACAGTGAGCAGAGGCCGGGGGCTAGAGTGAGCAGAGGCGGCTGGCTTGAGAATGGCGCGGCCGGCGAATTCGACGAAGGAGGCTTGCGGCAACCACATGTGATGACCCCGGGCTGGACTCCGCTTCGTCCACGGTGAAAGCCGATCCCGCGATCTACAGCGCAAAGTTGTTGTATTTCCTCAGCAACCAGCACGGATCAGCTCTAGGCATGACTAAGCGGATATCGTCCTCTTTTGGAAGGCCAAACAAAGTTTCGCTTTCACAAAGAAACACACAGTGCCTTCACAACATGGCACAACAATACTACAGCGAGAATAAAAGTTATGCCTTTCTTTGCGTGATCATTTGGGTGGCGTTATGCAAATCTTCCCACATAGTGAGGTAGATATGTGGGGGCATGTTAGAACGAGCCATTTTAGGTAGGAGTGGTTGACTCTTAACTTTTATAAAGAACATCTCTTTGGATTTGAGACTTTAGTCTTTGCAACTTTACAGATCTTCTTTATGCACCAAGAGCTTGTAACACTCCAAAGAGAAAGGAAAAATTGAAATCGCATCATATGACCCCTTTAAAGCACAGCCTCTCTTAATATTTGCATGGTGATATTTATCCACGTGACATGTGCCTTCATTCATGAAGGTAACAACAAGGGCAAGAAGCAAACATGTCAGCAGATAAAATAATAGAACGGACAAAAGTCATAGCATGTTATCAGTATAAATACGTATATTACAAATAAACAGAACTGTAAAAAAAACTTTTAAGAAAAAAGAAAAAGGTTGAAATAATAAACAGGATGACATATGGGAATGCTAATCATGCTAACTGGAAACTCTTGTTCCTGTCTCACTGTTTCCAAAGACTCTGGGAATACCGAAACAAACAGAACAGCTTGAAATGCATCCAAGAACGAGTCTGTACACACAAACTTGTCAGTGTGTGCAGGTGTTCACCTTTGTGCAGAGTAACCCAGCGGGTGAGACTGGTGGAGCAGCGCTCGTGAAGCTCGCTGTAACGGCAGACTGAGACTGTGCTGTTTTTAGCTCGTGTCTCTGGAACAAATGTGGGGTCAGTGAGCAAAGGTTACGGCCCCTAAGTATTCTTATAGGCGAAAGGCAATAATGGGAACCATAGACATAGATGTAAAACATTCACTCAAGTAAGAACATTAAGCGAAAGGCAGCACCATACGTGGGGTGGCAAGCACGCAAACGATACTAACACGATACACGTGTCCACCTTTTAATGTAGTTTTTAAATATTTGTGCTTCCGCATCATACCAAGACGAGTTGTGTAAAGTTTAACTTTTGGTAAAGTAACTTACCAAAAAATACAGGTGACCAGATTTCTAAAACCGGTACATTTCCTAGTTCAGTGTTCAAAATATCATTAAAATCTCAGTTGCAAAAACTGGGGACACTTTTTGTATGCTTTTTATTTTTAAATACTCTATTTTAACTTTTCACATGTTAATTTATGTCTGTGCTTTTGGAAATTAATCTTAATATACCTATGCACCTATAGGTACCTATAGGCCTATCTACTGCATTTCTGAGTACAAAGTATGTGCTTTCAACAAACGTTGAAAAAATGGTGACGTTAAAAGGATACTCAAAAGAAAAAAATCCACTTGTTTACACACCCTCATGTTCTACCAGATATGTAAATTTCTTTGTTTAGATGAAAAACTTTAGAAAAATGTCAGTCTCTGGCTGTCCATAATGCAAGTATAACCCCAGTGGATAAATCAATGTCTTCTAAAGTGAAATTATATGCAAGTAAAATTATATATATGAAAAATATATTTTTTATGTCATATTTTAAACTATAAATTATTGCTTCCAGCCAATTGTCATATGTGGATTTCTGAATAAGCATCAGCATGTTGTGACGTGGAGGCCTGGTCAATGTAACATTATATCAAATTCGGTCTTCAGAAGTAGGCCTAATACAGAGGCTTCAACATAGCTACTACAACAAGCTGGTACAAACAATTATCTGCTTTAGGAAGCACAAACTGACCTTCAAAAATGGTTTAGAGAATTGTTTAAATTGTGTTCAATATAGGTCACGGTTTCTAAAACAATTTTATTTTTGGCCAATAATCGGCTTTTAAATCTATGCCACATTTCGATGATTAGCAACAGATATGAGGGAATTAGCATTAGAAGTGTGCAAAAATACCTTTTACTATCTTTTATTTGCCACTAACACCTTTCAAGTTCTGCAGATGAACATGTTGCAGTTGGTTTCTAAAAATTAATTCTGCCAGATGGAAAAACAACAGCTTCAGTTTCTTGCCGCCACATGTAGAATAGATGTGTCCAATGACAACAAGTGTAGTGTTATATAAACCGTATTAGTGTGTCTTGTCTTAGCACATGTGTTTTAATCACACCAAAGCCTGCTTAATTCCAAACGTCTTGCACACAGGCTGTTGTTTAACAGCTCATTCTGCAGAAGGCATCAGAGTCACTGAACAGAGACTGTTTAGTGCTAATCCCTGTATGAAAGTACATTGATAGCCTAATAGTGATTTGCCATAATATAATCCATGCTAATGGAACTGAATATGATCATTTCAAATAACATGACAGCATGCAGGAGGAATAGAAACAATCACACCATACTTTAGGCTGCAGTTAGTCATTTATTTATAGCAAATATAACGTAATTGCAAAGTGCACCCAGTGATACAGTGACTTACACTAAAGTACTCAAGTCATATGGAAAGCATATTTTTGCCATTTTGTTTAACAATGTTTATTTGGTCATAGATAAAAAAAACAGCATGACATAAAAAGCAGCCGGTTTTTACTAAAAATAAAAATGGAGCCTCTGTTGCCTGCTTCTGCCCACGGTGACTCCTGGATGAGGGGTGAAGGGTGTGGAATTGGGTCAGGGTGGTTATGAGGGGAGAGGGGATCCAGGCTCCTTCCCGGAGTCACTGCTCTCACTCATTTGTCTCTTCATCACAATCTCTCTGGCAACGCAGGTCACCTGGCCGTTTGTCACTGTGTAGGTGCCAGCCCTGCCAATCAATATCAAGAACACCTTGCATGAAAACCAGAACTCAAGAGCTGAGTCAAACCAAACACAAAACGGTTCTTAAACTCACTTCTGCTGGGATTCGAATCCATTGAGTGTCCCCATTTGATTCTGCTTCCCAAAGAAGAAACTGGACCACCAGTGGCCAGAGTCCTGTCGTGCCAGACCTGCCATGGAATTGGACAATGAACTTTACTATTCCTTTACAATGAAAGCTGACTATATCGTATCACATTTTTGCGTGGATTTTAGGGTACTAAGATGTTGAACTCTTCAGTTGATATACCTGGGGGGTGTGGAATGACCTCCCCACTGTACTCCGAACTGCCACAGGAACTGTTGCTGGATGTAGATCCCATGCGCCCTACAACATATAAATATCTGTATATATTAAAATGATCACTGATATTGCATTTTATGGATCCTAATTCACATGCTAATTATAATGTGAAAGAAAAACATTTACTCACTTCGGTAGTAATCATGGGTGGCGACAAGGGAACCGCTGGATGGAATTGCTGCCATTTTCCCCGTTCTCAAAGTGTCAACCGTGTGAAAGATGGAAAGATGGTAGACCTGTTTAAAACATTCAGCAATAATGAGGACTAATCTGTCTGAGGATGACAGCTGCATGACATCACAACAACATGACCTTTTAAATACTAGGGCAGCTTGGAAAACATCTCAGGTTGGCAGATGCACAAACAATCTGTGCAGTGAGGTTTTAACCATGTCTGGATCACACACAACTTTTTCCCAATAGGCTAACGGTGTTGGTAAGATGTGAATATTATCCAGTGCATTCAGAGATGAACTGAACCCTTTTGACACTTGAGACGAGAATGTTCCACTGAAACTGCACATCCATCCCTTCCTATTATCCTCATTCTGTAGAGTGTGATGTGATGATACTCAACAGCTGTTACTTCAAGAATCATATTTCCATATTCAGCGACCCACTTACTTAGAACAGCCACTACC